CTGGTTGTTAACCTTTTAATGGTTATGAAATTTGTCTTTTTCTTCAAAAAGTTGGTTTTTTTTTTTTGCCAACTTTGAGGGAACGAAGCAAAGAGCGAAAGTCTGATGACTAATATTTGATGCTTTTTTTTTTTCGATAAATCGTCTGCTACGAGCCATATATTCTCCGAAGCATTATTACATTGTACACATTGACAGTCGCCAGGAATTCCTCTTCAACGGTATGTTCTAATTGCATTTGCAGGACTTGTTCTTCTGGTACCTAAGGACGTGTCAATTTTTTGACAGCAGTGCCATACGTTGGCTTGGAAGAGTGCTGCGAAAAAGTAGCTTGTGCATCGTGATGCGAAGACTGAGCCTGTCCAAAGCATTTTTATTTTCATCTGCCCACTGTATTTTGTCCTTTAATCCTGTTTTACAGTATTTTTATAGAAATGAAGGGCCTTGTTGCTGCGATTCGTAGTGCTGGCTTCGAGAATGTCCATCTAATGGATAAACGTTATGCGACAATTTGGGCAGGCGCCACTCTCTTATCAATGGTTTTGGATGTTCTAGAGACGACACTATATTCGCTGAAGTGGACAACATGGGATTTCGTGCTGAATTTGAGTGAAAGCGATTTCCCTCTCCTTTCTATGGCAGAATTGGAAACACATCTTGCGAGGCATATTTCTGCTTTGTTTTTGATATCTGACATGGGTTTTTTTGAATTTCTGCACATGGCATGCCTTTTAGGAACAAAGGACGCATCTTTTTGAGCAGTCACGGCTATGATACTGCACGTTTTATCCAAAAACAAGGCCTGGAATATGTGTTTTTGCAATGCGAAGATCGCATGTGGCGCATTATGAAACGGTTGCTTTGCTTTTTCCGGTCTACAATTTTTCTTTTTTTTTTTTTGTAAGCTGTTGCTAATTTGCGAATTTATACTGTGATTTTCGATATAAAAAGATAGTTTTGATTCAGCGCACGACAAAATGACAGATGAGCAGAACATTTGAACTTGTTCTTGCACATACATTTACTTGTATATATGCGCATACATATAGTCATTAGTGGGGGCAAGTTGAAATTTAAGGATTGTTTTTCCAGCAGATGCTTCTAGCTAAAAGAATTGAGATTTAGCCTGTCGTTATTTTGGCTGCATTAAACCTTTTAATTTCGATAATTTGCCCATATTTTATCCCAGTCATCAGCTTGTTTCGAAGCACACCTCGAAGGAGAAAGCCATCGGCAGTCTTTCGACTTTCGATTTGACACGGACGACTCCACATCGTGTGGTTACTGATTTTGACCTCACGTATAAAAAGAAGCGAGTGCTACATTATTTTTTTATTTTGAATTTTTTGAAGAAAAAAACAGTGGTGGAAAGTAGAAGAATCACTAAATCACAAAGAAAAATTGTTGAGACATAAATTTAGGTTAAATTTATTCAAAATGATAAAAACCATCTAGACAGCAGCAGTAAATGATTATTCTTTACTTGCTCAATCCTCCATCCCGAGCGTATTAAAAGTGGATGAAAAACTTTAAATTATTGCTCGAAATTTCAGAAATTTCTAAAAAAATTTTTTTTTCTCAAGTGTGTCTGAACTGTTTTTCGTTGCGATAGATTGGAAATTATAAGATGATAAGTTGAACTGAAGTTACATGAAAGTAGCAGAGAATTTTGAGCACGCTGAGAAGCATCAGCTCTACAAACGATGCGTTGAGATTCTAATAATTCCAGAATTCTTGTAGCAGGAAATTTCCGCGCTCAATTCGATTGGATGGCGGTTCGGACTGGGTTGTGTTGAGTCGCGATTTTGTGCTGTATGCATTGTCGGATGAGGAATTACCAAGAAGCTTGAGGCAGTTCTTTTCCAACGTGCTATTGCCAGTTGAAAGTTTCTTTCATACAGTGAGTCCTAAATATTTATTTGTTTTCCAAAATTATCTTAATCCCATTCTCGTCCTCTCTCTCGGCGGGACAAACTCAGACTCTTCGAAACTCACTGGTTGTTTTAGCCTTCCGTCCTACTGTGCTCTTGCCAGAGTGGTTAGCCAGCCCTACATGTCTTCTTACATTTTATCGGTGGCGTACTTTGCGAGCGCTGATTAATTAACTAATTGCAGCTGGCAGCTAATTCAAAATACTGTGCGCAGACTGTGAAAGGGAATCTGCACGTCACGAACTGGATGCGTCGCCAGGGTTGCCGCTGCGTGATGCTGAAGGAAATCGTCGATTGGTGTGGCTGCTCTCCTCTTGTTTTTCGCTCTTCCGATATTTTCAAGATTACCATCGAGGTGAGGGCATCCAAAAAAATGCAAATTTTTCAAGAGTTCTCTTACCGGTTAATTTAAAAAAAAAAAAAAAA